ACCATGCTCAAATCGGATGGAAGATTCAAAAAGTTTTGAGATATAATTGAAGCTGAGAGGAAACTTAAACGCGTCAATCCGTTGGCTCAGTTTGTCTTGTGGAAGTGCTTCGATGTGAATATAAGTCCAATTTGTTTCATATTCAACGAAATTTCTCCATCAAGACATAAACCGAAAAGGCGAAAACCGGCCATATCAAAGTAAAATTATAGTTCTATTTGATCGCAGCAGAGAAGAGTTGCACAAAACTAATCTAGAAGATAGTCCGGGTTGATTAGCCATTTTTCCCACGCTTTTGTTTGGAAAATGACGGCTCAATTTAAAATGCAGCCGAGGCCACGGGATATAAAGCCGTTATTGAACGTCCAACAAAGCACAGCACGTGTTGATTTTACCAAGAAATTCAGATCGCGTCGCCCGCCCATTTGGCAATGGGTTTATCTCCCTGATGGTCCACGAGTAATTCAGCATATTGTGAAAGCTGGTCTACTGAGCTAGTTTTCTGATGAATTTCTTTTTAGCTGTCAAAAGAAGTAAATATCTACACCGCCTAACGAGTTGGAAGGGAAGTGATTATTGAGCGCATTGTTGTTGGTCTCCTGCATACGCCAATATGCACATAGCAAAATTTCTTGCGCTGATAAAGGAGGTCTATGATAAATGTCACTCAAAAATGCATTCGCGGAACTCATATTTCTCACATATGAGGTTTGGTATATCAGCTCGCTTGAGGTTGGTAGTAGAATACGGTTAGACTTACTTTTTTTCACATTTATGCAGTTTCTAGAGGGGTCAAGTTTAATGTCAAATTCGCTCTATTACCGCGCAGCAGCTGGGATTTTAATTTAATCGAAAACTTTTCCCTCTTTCAGAAACAGGGATGAGTTACCTACCTTGCCATTGGTCACCATCGGCAAAGGTGTGCGGTGTATTCGAGGAAACTTGCAAATTCTGTTGGATAATCAAATTGGTGGATACCATGCTAAAACGACTGCCTCCAGTGCTCAAAAATGAAGAAGGGCAAATAGTATATAGATCAGATGAAAGTACAATACCTGTATGAAGTTCATGGGTCATTTCGAATAATAAACTATAGTTATGTTTTTCACTGTGGCCTTGTTATCTTACAATTGATGCATCAGTAACCGTCGTCAAAATCGCGAAGTGGTACATTTTAATGGCATGTGGCTAATAGAAGCAGTGATATAAGTGGGTATTATGGCGGATATGTTGCGTCTGATGTGGGGCAATATTATCTTCAATCCCGTGAATGGGGCTGGAAAACTAAACATTGAGAGGAACAAATGTGATTAAAATCAGAATGTTGCACGAGTTTGGTCAATATCTGTATATATATGTATGTATATATGATCTTTTTCTGTTCTTCTTAATGATCGGTGAAATTACTAGTTATTTTCTGCACTGAACCATATTCACGCGGTGTAGCATCAATTGCTATCAGATAACCCAAGGAGAAGCGAGATTATGAAAGTCGACCATTGGTAATCGCATATTTTTCATCCTGGAAATTGCCACGTGAAATGATAAAAAGGGCAACTTGTTAGAAAACGGGATTGAAAATCTACTTCTGCCCTTCAAAAGCAGTGATTCAATTAGTGAGGCTTGTCTGTACCTGAAATCATCTCATGTAATGCAAATCGGTTACAAATTGACTTGGCGCATTATGAACCGGGTTTAGCAGGAACAACTCAGCCTACTTAGTAGAGGTGAATTTCCCATTAGTCCAGTCTACCACCGGCCAAAATGTCCCTCCCCAGATTGCATCACCAATCTCCAAAGTCATCCCATCAATACGGTTCACAACTTGATTTATGCGAAACTAAAAGTGAAAATATTATTGCGGTTCTCCCCAGTCCAAAGAACATTAGCTGAACAGACTAGGAAGCGTTGTGATGAAAGCATGGACTAAGATCACCTTCATGTGAACCAGTCTACCAGTTAAAATTTTGGCTCAAAGAATCAGTGATCTATTTAGATGGTGAATGTTTGGATTAGCCCATTCGGTTTTTCTCAGGCACCAGGTACTGTTGATGATGAATGGACTAATCCAAACATTCACCATCTCAGTTGATTGAGACACTCGCACAAGGTGATAAACGTCGGCCGTGTAGCCCACGGGTAAGGGTTTGAAGTCTCAGCCCGAAGAATCGCGGTGCGAGTCCTGACAGGCACACAAAAAGTACGCATCGCAGACAAGTCCCAAACAGGACGAAACAGATGTCCATTGCTCTTTGTTGGTTATCACAAACATTTCCATCACACTAAAATCAGTGATCTAATTGCAGAAAAAGTTTTACGTGCCAAACATGAGTGGGTGATGTACCACTAATTTTGCTGCTCGTGAACACACACGTGTGCACCATTCTACTCCACGCTTCATCATCATCGTCACACTTCATCTAGTGAAATGGTTTTGAGTTAGATTATTTTGAAGAAGCTGGATATTGTTGGCGCAAAACCTGCAGTTTCGCAAGGGTGGTTTTTATTGGTTGTATGTCTCCTGTATTATGAAGTGCTTGACATCCTTTTTTCCCATTTCTTGGGCAGGCTCACTCCTTACATAATCATTTTTGCATTTTAACTTCATTGAAAGTGACAGTAATCATCGAATTTCGTTTCACCGCGTTCCACTGAACAATGAAGGTGTTTCTTAATAGTTCATGGCATTCATATGATAGGCACTGGAGGCAACGTGAGATACAAACCGTCAGACATGAACTGTGCTCTCCCTTCGCTCCCATGACGTCAGATTTAGCTGCTTTCCATTTGGGTAATAATGACTGATTTCTCTCACATCAAACATGTACCGAGCAGTTCCAGATGCTTAAAATGTGACAGATGCGTACTACATTTTTAACATAGAAGAACATCACTTGATAGTTTTGGGTTTTTCCGTATTAATACAGGCATGAATTTCGTAAAACCCACCTTCGTCATTTACACAACATCTCTGCACAATTCATGTAGGTTTCGTTTTGTTACGTTATCCTGATTGGCAAGCCGTGTGAGCACACTATGAGGAGTCAAAAATGTCATCCACCGTCCAGTTTGATCATGCTTAAAATGTCTTTACTAGGCTTGATAGGCAGTTCAATCGTCGTTTCACACTCGCTCTAGTCTTCACGTTTCTCTACATACGAAATTTTACGGAGACCATCTTGCTTGTTCAATCAGTGCGCTTTAGACATTGTGTTCTACCTTGCGCTTTCTACTGTCCAAATTGCATGAGCATGCGCATCTATGGGGATCATCGTTGTCTTTTATTTGAATGTTTGTGTTGTTTTGATCAACATTCCGGCGAACATTTTGTCCCAAGTTCACTTTGATGGGGCATTTCTTGTTATCCATAACTGAAATCCAGATTACCAGAAACAAAACAACATAAAACATTAGTCAAGATTTCAGTTAAACTGTGAGTGACTCCAGCGCACGCAAACCCGATCCGGAGTATTTTGTACTAGATGCTAGTTAGAAATTTTGACCTGTATAAGTTAATGGTCTCGTGGCCCCATAATACCTGATATTCGTTTCTGAACACAGATACTTTCACTTTGCGCACATGTTTCCTTAGTGAAGTTTTGCTATTTTTGCGTTCCACTGAGTTGATCTATTGAATGTTTTCTATTGACCAACCATCTGTTGTGTTCTTTGTACGTTTTCACGATGATACTTGTTTTACTACATATTGCTGTCGCCGGTGAAAAAGGCAATAATCTCTTTTTCATTTTACTTCCTTTCATAGAATAGCTAAGAATGCAATTTTCAGGACGGGGTTGGGGGTGAGGGTGGGGATGGGAGCGATCAGCCTGCCATAAAAAACAGAATAGGAAAAGTCAATCGGTGGTGGTGGGATTCGAACACAGCGATAATTTAGTGACGTAACCACCTGTGGGCAATGTGTTCTTTCGGTTACATATGCATAAGCATTTGAAAGATTTGCTTGTTTTTGGGCTAATCTCCGTAACAATTAAATGCTAACAAATTGTTTGGAGTGATTTTAAGGATCAGATTGATACTTGATACTCCCTTCAATTTACCTATTCAAGGGCAATGCCAATAATTGAACCGGGATAGACTTGAAACCGCTGATCCATTGGAATGCTAGTTTTTATTGTGGGATAGGTTATAGCCTCCAAGAATATGTGTGAATGATCGAGTTGGGTTATTGCTTTTGCTCTTAAAGACACCTTTCAGGGTTATTTCTTTAACAAACGTGGTTAGTGACAATTTATGATGTTTCGTTTGATGTTGACTAAAACAAACAATGCTACTAGTAACGATAGTATTATTAGTGCCTGCGTTTTTGTGAAAGTTGAGCATCAAATCGTGGTTTGCAATTAGTTTTTTTGAAATGTAAACGTAAAAACAGTCATAAAATTTTTCAATCAAAACAGGTCAGATTCGGATTTTTGGGATCTTTCCACAAGTTTTCTAATTTGCAGGTGCTTGTTCGCCTTCCATTTTACGCCCTCTCTTTGCTTTTGACATGGACGGTTTTTGAGGCCATAAGAAACAGTTCACAAACATTACTTGTGCAATTTTTGTTTCCTTTATTTGTGTTATCACAGAAACGGGTATTTTTCATTTGTCAAAAGTTTTTTCCCCATCAATTCCGACTTCTGCTAACCGTCATATTTCATCTGCGCAAAACGAAAACCGCAAATTGCAATATTGCCTGATCTAGTTGGAAATCTGGAAGGATTTGTACGAAGATTAGTGTAGTATATTTCACCAATTGTTACGAATTTTTGCATGCACTATTTGGAGATTATTCCCGTGTGCTCTTCGATTGGTCCTAGAAAATGTTGCTTTGTTCCATTTGAACCAAAATCTTTCGTTTTGTTGATGGGCTTTGGTCACCACGTTTACATTATTTGCTGTATTTTCTATTCCTTTAGGATCTTTCCATACAGTTTGTTCTTTGATTAGTTCAATCATCGTGTTTTATATGATTATTTTTTTTGTCTTTCGGTTATCAGAAACTTGAATTGGCTAATCGCAGAACACACGGCAAGAAACGAATTCGGTTTGACTCAGGTGAGCGCAAACGAGGCGGAATCTCATCGATAGAGCGTATACTTAACCACAGCGTGTTTTATTTTCAATTTTTGGTTGGTAAATAAAGTGCGCACTGGTGACTGCAGCTCAAGGTGATTTTATTGTTAGAACACAAGTTCGAAGGCGAACAGTTATTTTGTTAATTTATTGCTAGTTGGGAGGCGTTTTCACTCTGGGTCGAAAGGTCGTTTCACATGGGAGAGGGGAGGGGGTGAGCCCTGCATCAGATGACTGCGTGCTGTGCTTGGGTGAAGTCGGTTGTGATTGGAGTGTCAGTGTTGTCGATGGTCAATTTGGGGTCAGGCTAAATGGAAACTAGTCAGTTTCGTGTTCTTTACGGTTCGGATGTGGGAAAGCGAATGCCTCTCTTCAACGGTGGCCATGTATAAGCGCACTATATTAAAGGGACTGAGGGGGGGGGGTACGCGATAGATAACCTGGAAGGCGGATTTCAGTCTAATTTGATGGCCTGTATCCACTAGATGACTGATAATAGCGCTTTATACGCTCCATGTGCTTCCTTGTCTTAATCAGCGTGGGCAGTGTTCCTTTATCCTTTGGGATAGTTGCCTCACCGTACGGCCAATGTACGTTGCATCACAAGCACACTTGGATGAAGAAATAGTCACAGAAATGACCAGAGAGGGCAGTCTGGTTCGAATTGTGGGGAAGGCTTTGAACACAACCAATTCGGCTTGTGTGTTCACTTCACTGTACGCGTCAAACCTTTGTTCAAGAGGTTAGGTATACCATCTTGAAAAGATAGCCGGATAAATAATTTCTCCTGAGCGTTGTGAACCTGTTCGGCCAGCGGCCTTTCCTGAGAGTTTCTGTTGATGAACCGAATGAGATGAATATTTTCTCTGAGATTGTCTTTAGTCTTCATCAGTTTTTCATTCAAAAAAACCTTCAGAGGAGCTGTTGTGCGCTCTTAATTTGTTTTCTATCCAAGTGGAACGACGTGAAAGTTTGTATGTTGCGCCGTCCTTGTCCATTTTTGCGAATTTGACGCTCTAACAAACCGTTATCTTTTCGGTGAAGTACTACGTCTAAAAAGGCCGATTTGTTGTTTGCTTACTTTTCTAACGTGAACTGAATCGATTCGTGATTGTCGCTGAATATTTTAAACAATCTTGCCAAATTCCTGTCTTTATGTGTTAGACAGAATATGTCCACGTATTGCCAACACAGACTAACTTGCTGGATTTCTTGCTTCGATGTTGTATTTCCTAATTTAGTCATAAACATATCCACTAGGTGTGGGCCTAACGGGGAACCCAAGATTACTCCATCTATTCGACGAGACAATGTTACATCACCGAGAAATAGGACACTGAGTTTGCATGCTAGCCATAACTTGTTCAGAATCTTAGTTGATATTCCTAT